CCCCCATTCTGAACCCAAGCAGTGTTTTTTTATTGGACTTCTATACTCGTCATGGATTGTCCATAACAAACACCCTGTTCAGACATAAGGGTGTGCTCTTGGCACCAGGATACCCTAGGCTGCAGTTCGATGATCGACTTTGTTGTCGTTTCATCTGATCTGCGGCCACATGTCTTGGATAATCGGGTGAAGAGAGGGGCAAAGCTGTCAACTGACCTGACCACTACCTGGTGGTGAGTTGGCTCCGATGGTGGGGGAGGATGCCAGTCAGACCTGGCAGACCCAAACGTATAGCGAGGGTCTGCTGGGAACGTCTGTCAGAGTCTCCCATCAAACAGAGCTTCAACTCACACCTCCGGGAGAACTTCGAACACGTTCCGGGGGAGGTGGGGGACATTGAGTCCGAGTGGGCCATATTCCGTACCTCCACTGTCGAGGCGGCTTACCTGAGCTGCGGCCGTAAGGTTGTCAGTGCCTGTTGTGGCGGCAACCCTCAAACCCGCTAGTGGACACTGGGGGTGAGGGATGCTGTCAGGCTGAAGAAGGAGGCCTATCGGGTCTTTTTGGCCTGTGGGATGCCGGAAGCAGCTGATAGGTATCGGCAGTCCAAGCGGACTGCACCTCGGGTGGTTGTTGAGGCAAAAACTTGGGAGTGGGAGGAGTTCAGCGAGGCCATGAAAAAAGACTTCTGTTCGGCTTCAAGGTGATTCTGGTCCACCATCCAGCATCTCGGGGGGTTGGGGGGGTGGGTGAGCAGTTCGCCACCAACACAATTTATGTTGGGATGGTGCGCTGCTGACTTCAACTCAGGACGCTGTGGGTCGGTGGGCAGAATACTTCAAAGACCTCCTCAATCCCACCGACACGTTTTCCCATGAGGAAGCAGAGCCTAGGGACCCTGGGTTGGACTCTGCAATCTCTGGTGCTGAGGTCATTAAGGTGGTTAAAAAGCTCACAATGTTTCTCACAGTGAAGACTGAAAGATGAAATCTCTGAGATAGCTTTCTGTATCCTTCCCCTAAACCATGACGGTGAACAATCTTTGTTTTCAGCTCATTTGAAAGTTGTTTTCAGACTCCCATGCTGCCACTCTTCAGAGAAGATGCAAAGAGGAGAAAAACTTACTATTGTCCCTTAAATACCCTTTCTCATAACTGGAGTCACCTGTGTATTGAGGTCAAGGGTCACTGAACTTACCAAACCAAATTTGACTTCCAATAATTAGTTCTAAAGGTTTTGAAATCAATAAAATGACAACAGTGCCCAAATTTATGCACCTGCCTAATTTAGTTTAACCAATTATTGCACATTTTCTGTAAGTCATATAAACTTCATTTCACTTCTCAAATATCACTGTGTTTGTCCCCTATATGATATATTTAACTGATGTTTTTACTCTAAACAATCAATGATTTATAAAGGTAATTTATAAAATTAACAAGGCTGCCAAAACTTTCACACCCTACTGTATGTTCCTCAGCTGGACTGTGAACGGCTTTGGATTCCCCCAGAGGAGCTGGCCCAAGTGGCTGGGGAGAGGGAAGTCTGTATCTCTCTGCTTTGGCTGCTGCCCCTTGAGACCCGACCCCAGTTAAACGGAAGAAAATGGACAGACGGATGGGCAAACAAAAGGTTTTCAAGGGATTTAAAGTGATCTCTATTCATTTCAATAAGACCAAAAACATGAAACAATGTCAAATATTTTAAGACAAATTGTTTAAAACATCTCATGAATGAGCTCAATATTTTGATATGAGCTGTAAAAACAGATGAAAATATGCAAAAGTACTTTTATTGAAAAATACAGATAAGTAAGTATAAGCAGAAAAAGAGCAGTGTGAATGCTGAACTTCATCATCAGTTATGTGGTTCAGTCAGTTTAGCTGCTGGACCTAAGTGGGGCTCCTGGCTGTTGTGACCGCAGTAGCAAGATAAACAGGGTCGACAGTTTATCACATAAGCTGTTTTTATGCTATTTTAAACAGTTAAAAGTTTTAACAATTAAATGACTGAAGTGCAGGTTGGGGTTCAGCTTCTCTAAACATTCATCATTTTATTAAATCTCTCGAGTAAATCTAGAATCAGTCTAACCTGCACATCCAGATGACCACACACTGCTGTCAGGATCTGATGATCTTCTCCTTCCACCTGCTGCTGTGGCTCTCCTGTAGAACACGTCATAATAACCATTAGATTCACTTTGAAAACAAGAAATTTTAACCCTCCGAACCGTTCACCAGGTTTTATTTTCCTTTTAAGGGTTTTTAACACTAAATAATTACAGAATCGCCCAAAAAAAGATATTTTCTGAACTAATATCGTCAGTTTCTGAGGATCATTCAAATATAACAAAATGATTTTAAACCATCACAGAATGTGAAGCATTCAGTCTTTAAGGGTGTATTCACACCTGACACATTTGGTCCACTTTAAACAGACCTTTTGTGCAGGTGTGAATACACTTACGCAAACCCTGGTGCAGATCAAACAACCGGACCGAGACCCATTTTTGAGGTGGTCTAGGTCTGCTTCCAAATGAACTCTGGTGTGGTTCGCTTCTCCTCCTCCTGTGTGCTATGCTTCATGGAGACATGGCTGAACGCACGGATCCCGGACTTTGCGCTCCAACTCGCAGGATTCCAGCTCCTCAGCGGGAACTCTCCGGGGGAAAAACAAAAGATGGAGTCTGCTTCAACACCTGGTGCTCCGATGTGACAGTGATCTCCCAGCACTGCTCTCCTTCTCTACAATACCTTTTCATTAACTGTAAACCGTTCTACTCTCCACATGCTACAGAAGCTAATATCTGCTGTTCAACAATTAGCAATAATTACATTGGCTTTATACGTTCTTTTAATTTTAAAGTGTTAAATTACCAGCTTCAGTTGTGGTCAGATAACATTCACATCAAGGTAAATAAGATAAAATCTGTTTACTTGTGAAATGAGACACGTTTTCCTGTTTCTCTTCTGTTAATAAATCCATAACAAACAGCTTTCTAACAGTTTTTGTTAAACGTTAGATAGCTTTTATACACTCTAATATATTAATCATAATTTTGTTATTATCATGAAACATTTTTACAGTTTTTACATAATCACCCGTATTGTTGTTTTGCCAACATGTACAGTAATGGTAAATCCAGACTCTTGCCTGTTCTGCTTAGCCCTGCAGGTCACATGTTCACATGGTAAAGACTCACTCCAGCTGTTCTATAGACCCTTGGTCATGATCCATATCTCATGTGAACATGATCGACCACAGCCACACTTTCAGTACTGATAAGACCCGTGATTGTCGACCCATCCCTCAGTCCATCCTCCCATTACACAAACAAGACTCCCAGATACTCACACCTCTCCACTGTGAGACAATAACAGTTTAGGGAAACATCTATTCATGAAAACCCAAGAGCTATATGAGCATGCATGTGTCTTTACAGATGTTGACTAGCATTTAGAGACGTTTGTAATTTTTTTACACACTTATACAGATTTTAACAGACTTTACAACTGTTTACAAATTATGTATGAACTCTGAATTAAAAACATCCTTGATCCACAAGACTTTGTGGGACATCTTGACCCAAGTGCAATACGAGGGTTAAGAACCAGGAACAAATTGATCAAAAACCTGCACCAGGACCGAGGAGATGCACCATCCTTCAGTTGATCATCCAGTTTTCAGCTCTTTGCGAATCACCTTGTTGGAATTAAAATCCTATTTTTGTTCTGACTGTTTTCTTTGGTGTTTTTTTTCTATCAGTTCAACAAATTATGTGGTAGGCTGCTGGGAACAAAGAGCCTAAAGACCTGAACTTTTAAATTCTTTTAGTCAGAGAAAACTTTGCTGTAATGTATCATAAAGTGTGTACTAAGCTGAGGAATGTGTGTATTTGTGATAAAACAGAATACCTTTACTCTGAAAAAACTCCTGGGAATTCTTGTTACTTCCTGTCTCTTCATCAGACTTCAGGCTCTGCAAAGAATACATGGAGGTCATTTGATTTGATTTGATTTATTTAACAGGAAAAGATTATTAAAAATCAAGCCTGACTCAGCATAATTGCTGT